GCAGGGGCACACCCAATTCTGTCATTGGATGTTACTTGTCATTGGCTGCAGGGATGACCAAGTGCTTGACTAGATATTGCTGTATTGACACTTCAGCTGTGCTCCCGTGAAAAATTGTGTTAAATCAAGGATGACACTTGATTCCCTTTTCAAGATTTCAAGAGAAAATTCTGAAAGATATGTGCTAAATTTTTTCTAGACTTCTTGTAACATGTACTGTATATCCTAAGGAAAGTTTTCTGCTGAGAATTCTTTCTTTGCTACCTTATAGTGCCTCTGAATGTAGAAGCCTTCAACTATTGATATTTTATAGAGGTCATGCCTGTTCAATTTATACTCTGCTCTTACCCAGGCAAAACTGTTACCCAGTTCTCCTCTCCCCTACAAGTCTCCTGTGCCTCTTACATCTGTTTTTTCTGGTGAGTTCTCATTTTCCCCAGTGGAGTCTGGCATGTGGGATGTGCCAGCCAGTTCATAGGATGCCAAACATTTTCATTCTCATCATGTTGTCGTTGCTGTCAAAACACAAAGCTGGTGAAAAAGGAAAAGAAGCTTTTCAGTGCCTCAGTGCAGCTTTTCTCCTCAACACTTTCCTTTAGACTCACTCACGTATTTAGGATGAATCCTGCTCTGTACTGGAGCACCAGAGGCCAGCCTGCAGTCCCCAGCACGTGTAAGGTTGCCAGGCTGCTGATGATTCTAAAAGTTCTGTGGTTATTTCCTGATAGTTTGATTACTTGACTTCACTGAGATAAAAATACAAACATGGCTAAGGGTAAAAGCCATATAAATGTTCCCATTTGCTCTTAAAAAACAATGTTTTCAGTCGTTTTGGGTTTGGAGTTCGGAATGTTATTTAAATGTTAATCACTTGAAGCTGTACTTGGGCATATAATTCAATTATGGGACCATCTTAATTATGCAGATGGTGCTTATGAGCAGCTGATACAATTACAGAGCCAATTCAGTGCACATTCATTTCAAGGGCTTAGCTGAAACACGTTATTATTTCAATGTGTGTGGACAAATCCACTTTTTCAGGAAATGGGTTCATGGGATTGTAATAGTGTTCTGCTCAGCTCGTTGTTTCAATGGTGTGCAAACCACGAGGTTTTTAACCATTCTCCTGATTTCTGTGGTGGTCCAAGGCTTGTGAGAGGTTTCTTCATGTTTTTTACATATCCAGAGGGATGAAAATGGAGACTTGAGTTAATAATCCATCATCCCTCTGGGTAGCAGGCGGTTTTATTTCTACTTCAATATTTAACCTCCTTTTGAATGGTGCCCCACATCTGGAGGCCGTGTGTAAATCTCATCCAATCAAGCTGATAGCAAAATAGGAGAATTAGTGGCATTTACTTTCACCATGAATTGGTGCAAAAATAAATACTATGTAATTCCTGCTAAAATAGAACTCCACTTTTAATGTCGTTCCTTCTTTTTGTGTAAGTCCAATAAAGGAACTTTTAATATGTTTTATGGCCTGGTTCAGTGTTCAAGGAAGATTCTGCTTCCTGGAATATGTTTTTCTCATCTGCCTTTGTGTCAGTTTTAAAAACCTCTTAAAACCACTTTTAATTCCATGTGAGGCCTGTCTTGTATACCTAATTAAAAGTTAGATGCCATTAGTGAAGCTGGGATAACAAAGAAAAATTAAATAAAGAGCTGAAATTTATAGAGGGGAATATTCATAGCGGATATTTTAAAATAACTGAGAGTTTTGAAAGGAATATGAACCTTAGTGAGTGATTCTGGCCAAAAGTCATCATCTAACTCACAGTAAGTAGGAGGAAAAAAAAATGTAGGGATGATGTATTCTGCTTCCTCAGTTTTTCACTTCCCTGTTTCTCACTGATTCTGAGCAGAAATAAGTCATTAATGTATCTCACCATCCACCTCATATGGCTACACCTGTATTACTGTTGAACAGACTATCTGTGATACACAGAATAGGTGTTGTCACCTAAGAAAAGATGTTTAGGACCTGAATTCCCACTTCTAAACATTCTGCAGAAGCACTTTCCTGTTCCCCATGACTCAAATGCTTACAGGAGAGCGTGTGCCTGTGTATTTGTGGCTGTACAGAGGATCAGTTGCTCTCATTTTCAGTTTGGCTCTAAATAAATGTCACAGATTATATCACCATGAACATAGTCATCAAAAATTCGTGCCAGGAAACCTTGTCACATTGTAAATTCTATTTTCCAGCATAGGGGTTTATTCATGTTTTGTTGAAACTAATGGGAGAATGAATCTGGATCCAGTGTATTCACTGCAGTTGTAGGTCAGTTTTGCTCAGGGTTTTTTTTTCTTTCAGTGGGATGGATCAGTAATATAGACTTTGTGCCTGATCCTTGCACAGGAGGGAACATCATCTGCCCACAGCAGCTCTGCTGTGCACTTCTGAGGCATCCCAAGAAAACCTACTGGTTACCCACGTGTGGAAATACAATTGTGGTTCAGTTGTAAATTCTCTTACTGCTGAGATTGTTTTCATTTTTGTTTTATGTCTTGTTACAAGTACTGCTTGCAACATAAGCCATTAGTATAATACTGGAAAAACAGCATCTAGCAAAATAAATTGAAGTACATTCTTGTTTTCAGTTTTGTTCCTGGGTAGCTCAGGTGCCAAGCTTCTGTCATGGGACAGGAACAGCCAGACCAAGCTGAGGTGCTTTTCCTAAAATTGGGGTGGGACCAGTGCAAAAGGACAGGGCGTAGAAACCAAAGGATTTGTGATGCCTGAGAGCACGTCTAGGGATGTTGTTCAAAATTCAGTACCTGGTTCTGCCTCCTACTACTTTGTTAAGCTGTTCTTTATGGATGAGATACTTTACAAGCTGGAAAGAGAAATGCATGATGTGTGAGATCCGAGAGGAGGAAGATTGCTTTGGTTTGGATACACAAATGGCTGTAAGAAGCAAGAAGGAAGAGTTGGCATTTGCTGTTGTAGTGAAGGAGGAGGAGCTGTTCCTGTAGCCCAATGGGAAAATTACCCTTTTACTTTTGGGGGAGCCAACAGAAGTGTGGATTAGGTGTCATGGAAATACAGATTCCAGAGGGGTCATACTAGTGCTGCTTATGATTTCATAAAATTGTTTTAGCTATTAGTTCATGCAAAAATGTAACCTCATTTATCCATCATTGCCTTCTATGGGATTTTGTCTTAACTAATGTCAAACTTCATTTTCCACAACATACAAAGGAGGAAATTCGGGTAAATCGATACTGACTTTCCTGTGGGCTGGGAAGGGCAGTTCTCCTTTGGAGCCCTCTCATTCCAAAGCATTCCTGTTTTCCTGGAGCTCTCCATGCTGCCCAGGTTTGCTTTCTGTGTATCACAAACACTGTAACTTTTGACTGCAGCAACAAGGCTCTGCCAAAACAACAGTGGGAACAGAGAACTGTAATGAGCGTGTGATGTTCCAAAGGTTTCAGAAATGTAGAGGCAGAGGAAGCATCTTTTGAATTACTTTTTGGAGAACAGAAAAGTATCACATGCAGCTAGCAAGCTTGTATTTCTTCCTGAATGGCTGCCCTCTTGTCCTTAGTGGTGTCTGTGCAGTTTGTTGAGAATAGAAGCTCCCTGTGCTGTTAGAGGGTCTTTAAAATGATGCATTTGCTTGCCGAGGAATAGAGGATATATTTTCCTTTTTGCCTATAAACATACTTGTGTTCCGTTTTCGTACTAGTGTGCTGCCTCACAGAGAGCCACATTGATATAATATTTAGTCCTTTAAATTCATTGACAAGGGAAGAATTTTTTTGCTCAAGAGAACTGAGTTAAGAACATATATTGTTTGCAATTTGCAATTTTTCTCAAGCTGGCAGTAGTCAAAAGATGTGGATTTAGGCTTTGCTAAGAAGAATAGGTAATTTCCTGCCTGTTTCCCTTCTAAGTGCAAGACACCACCTATGCAGATGACAGTGACAAATTAAGTGTTCTTGTGTTTGATTGTCTCAGCAGGAGATGCAGCTTGTTGTTGGGTTTGTATATATTTATTACATGGGGCAGAACTCTGGATGGATAATCTAAGAAAACTTGCAGAAGTACTGTCCAAGATTTTCTTGCTGAACTGATTAGTTCCACCAGCTGGTTGCTGTGTAGTTGTAAAATACTTTCTTTTTTATTAATAGTATTTAAATTGCCTTTGTGCTGCTTTCCCACAGCTGCACAGTACTCTGGTGTGACTGGAATTCATAGAATTGCAGGACAGTAGAGGTTGGAAGGGACCTTGAGTGATCACTTGGGAATAGTCTAGAGAACTCTTGCTTTAAGCAGAGCCACCTTCTCAGCTCAGAGCAGGTTGCTCATGGCTTTATTTGGTGTCACTTTGAAAACCTCCAAGGACAGGGACTGAGGACACAGCTCCTATGGCAGCCTGGGCCCCTGCCTGGCTGTCCTTGCATGTGAACTGAGTTTCCTTTCAGTAAGTTTAAGCCAAGACCTTACACTTCACTCTTTTTGTCTCCCAGAAGAAACATCTTTTTAATCTTCCAATATCAAATTAACCCTGCACTCCTTATCAAAAGATTTCAAACTCCCAGAATTTCAGTTAGACTTAAGAAAGCTGTTGGTAGAGAAAACTGAAAAATAAGGGTTCTTCTCATTGTGGGCTCTGTGTGCATGGAATGGCAAAGTGGGGAGTAATTTTTATTCCTGTGTATATTAAGCTGAAGGCTTCCTTAAATATTTGTGTAGAATTTTGAGCAAATTGGGAGAGGGCTATGCATACAGCCCCCCCCAACCCCAGCTTTTAAGTATTTTAAGATGGCTAGCACTGTTATACATCTGTATATTCCCCAGCTATGAGAGCACTCATGTCCATTCTTTTTCACCTTTTCAATGTAACAGGCAAATGAAGCCTCTACATGTGGTTTAGCTTTGGTGACTAGGTTAATTTTTAATTTTTTTTTTTTAGATTTAACCCCGAAGTCCAATCTATCTATATTTGACTATTACAAGATTAATGAATTCTAAACCTTTTCTCTGTTTTCAGGCTTCTCAATGCCAACAAGATCAACTGCCTGAGGGTAAACACGTTCCAAGGTCTGCATAATCTCAAACTGTTATCTCTTTATGACAACAAACTGCAGACCGTCAGCAAGGGGCTCTTTGCACCTCTGCGATCGATCCAGACTCTGTGAGTATGCAGCCATATCACAAATGACAGCTCTCTCTTTCCCCACCAAAGATGTTGCCTGTCTTTGCATCTGACATTAAGACAATTTGGAAGAGCCCCTCCTTCCCTCACTGAGAGAAAAGGAGCAAGAAAAATAAGTGTTGCATCAGTTCAGCGAGGGCAGGATCGACACAGCCTGCCCTTAGTGCCAGAAATGTCAGAACTGTGTGGAGCTCAGGCTGTTTGTTGGGCAGATAATGTGTGCATTTGACTCTGGATAAGATAGGAACAGCAGATTCTGTTAGGATCATTGCCTAACAAGTTTTTAATGAGCCAACGAGTTGGCATCTCTCCTGCCTGGGTCTGAGTCCTGCTGTGCAGTTCATGACTTCTGTAACCACATTTCAGCTGACATTCCACTTAAGAGGAATGATAAGTTGTATTATTTGATCCATTAAGAAAATCTACTAAACATTTTTGAATTTGGAGGCATTGGAATAGGCATCAGAAGCAAAAATATAGAAATGATTCGATATTTTATAGAAGAAGGTCTCATCTTAAAGCTGTGAGTAATAAGATAATAAGGTAAATAGTACTCCTTCAGAGCTGGAGTTGGCAGCCTGATATTCCAGCATTAAAATATGTATGGGGGTGTATGTATATGTATATATATATACTGCAGTATCTATGCACACATATGCTATAGTACTGCAATTTTTGTATGCAAATACACATTTACATATTTTAATACTGGGAATGCATTGGCTGAATTAGTTGTATAAATGTCTTAAATCATATACAAATGAACTGACAGGAATGATTTCTTGCAGCAGAGTTTCTGCCACGTCCTCAGGCAGCCACAAACACAACCTGAATTTCCAACAGATATTTTGCCAGTGTGTACTGCTGCAAACCATTAAGGCAGTGGAATAATCATGTACAACAACTCCCAGTTCTGTCCCCCCAGCTTACCATGCTTTCTGCTGCTGCAGCTTACTGTGTATGTACACATAAACAGAGGGGGTTCTTTTACAGAGGTACGTAAGGTTTGTCAGGTTAAACAACAGGGGTTTTAATGTTTATAGCTCTAAGGTATGAATATTTCCCATTTCCATAGGGTTTTGCTGATATTCCTGATGGCCCTTGCCTAGAATGGACTTGTTGCTTCACATCAAGACACGTTGTCAGGAAAAGTTTGGATTCATTCTTCCATTTTTAATACTCCAAGCAATTGGCATCTTCTTGTTTTGGTTAGAGTTGCAAAACCAGACCCAAATTCTGTCTGTATGTGATTCGTTGTTCTTTGGACCTTTCACAGCAGGAATAGCTCTCCTGCAACAGGAATCTTGAGTTTCTTCAGGCCCCTTCTGCACTGTGTGCTCTCCCTTCCCAGCCATTGCCCTGTTCTATTTTACACTTATTTTGTTCAGCGACAGTTCATAAATATAACTGCAAACAGAAAAAAAGTTTCTACAAGTGGAAAACAGTAACAGAGTGAGAGAGTTCTTGTGAGGCTATAACTTTATACCTCTGTCCAAACCAAATTGAAACATATGTCTTTTCTTAACCTGTCTTTGCAGTTATTGGAGAGCTGAGTCCTGCTCCCTTGGAGGTCAGAGGGACTGATGCAAGTTAGCTGAACTGAGATTAGACCTGGCTCTGGGAAAGACCTGGCAAACTCTGCTGACACAGTGCTCAGCTTTGTCAAGCAAAATAAAACAGCAGCAGGAAAACAGTGTTTCTCTCTAAGATGCTCCAGCAGATTTCTGTTACCAAAGTCTAAATGCCCAGTAAAAATCAATGGTATAATACCTATTTCCAATTTCATAGGAAACAAGTTGAGCAAATTTTGGTGAAGGATAGAGTGCAGTTGTACCTTGCGTAAACATTTCAGTCTTTAAATTAAAACCTTTTGCTTCAGGAAAAAATACATATAAGGGAAGTACTATTACACGTGATGAGCATGTGCAAATACTAATTTCACTCTTCTGAAAAGATTCTGACAACTTCTGCCTTTGCCCAAAGATCCAAGGGGCTTTACTAATTCACAGTCTGAGTTTGCTGATACAATTTCTTTTAAACCAGGATACAAAATGATTTTCAGGTGAGGTGCATGTGTCTCAAAAGGCAACATGTCAAGCTCTCAGGAGGAAACGTGGGACTTGGGAGACAGTGGCAGGTCTGTGTCCTTTAAAGGGGGCTTTTCTGTTTTAATTGTTGTTTCCTCAGTGCGAGGGCTCGCTGCAGGCGTAATGAGCTGCGGGATGTGAGCGCTCACAGAATTCTCCCGTTCACGTGCGGCTCCGTGTGGCTTCAGCCAGGCCTGGGCTGGGTTTTTCTTTTCTTTTTTTTTTTTTTTCGGGCGCCGATTCAATTACTCCACTCTTCAGGTTCAGCGTTGGCGAAAAAAACAATGATGGAGCACGGTGTCACAGGTCACTCCTGATTAAACATGCCATCCTTCTCGCAGACATTTAGCTCAGAACCCATTTGTGTGCGACTGCCATCTGAAGTGGCTGGCTGATTACCTGCAGGATAATCCGATCGAGACGAGCGGCGCTCGCTGCAGCAATCCCCGTCGCCTTGCCAACAAACGCATCAGCCAGATCAAGAGCAAGAAGTTCCGCTGCTCAGGTAATTCATTTATCCAGCCTCTGCTGCGCTCTCCATTCAGGGATAAGCAGGTCCAGAGAGCCCGCTAATCGAATCTGCGGGACAGTGTTTGCTGTAATGGATATTAGGGAGCATCTTTGGAAATTAAATTTGGGGAAATTCGGTTAGTTCGACAGAAAGCCAATTACCTTATGGATTAAAAACAAAAAAAACAAAAAAAAAGAAAAGAGAAAAAAGAAAAAAAGGCAGTCTATAGCTGTCTTCTCTTAAAAACAAAGAAAAGAAAAAAAAAAGATAAAAGCTTGTGATGTTCAATCGTAAAAACTTTAAAAAATTATGAAATATTTGAGGAAAAGAAGAACAATATATGTGAATCCATGTGGGAAGTGTTGTGTTTTGACAGGATTGTCATTTGTATTCAAGCAGAGCTCTCACTGACCTAATGAGAGCTGAGCTCGTGTTCAGTTCCCCCACCTAAAAGGCGGAGAACAGTAGGAGAGGTTTTCATGCAACTGGCAATGGGCATTTCTGATCTGGGTTGGGAGTGAAGCTGGGTATGAGGTAATGGCATCAGTTGGCATCAATTCACGTGCTCTCATACATTCATTTTTCTTGCATCAATAAGTTACACTAACTCCAGTAAAATTGCCACCAAAGTTGGTAAGTTTTTTGGTTTCAGCAAGCTTTGATTTAAAAGGTGCATAATAATTTAGGCAAAGGTTTTGTGTTGTGAATGAGACAGAAAAATGCTTCCATCTGAAATTAATTTCCAAAGTAACATAAACAGCTTTCTCTTAATACTGTCTTTTCTTTATTTATGGTTCAGCTGTCAGTAAAAGAATATTTCTTGCCTTACACAGCTCAACTGAGCAGATGACTGCTTCTTCGTGTATTTTTCCTATTGCTTATATTGGTTATATCTATTTTGGATTACTGCATTTTTGTATACTGTAAAAACAAACAGGTTTCAGTAAGCAAATCTATTAGTGTGTACTGAGGAGAAAAATGACTGTTATTGATGGAGTACCTTGTGGTGTTTTCTATGAAAATTACTATGATTTTTCTCTTTTTCCTCTGAAAAGAAGCATGATTAATTGTGTTCCTGGAGGTAAAAGATGAATGGCTCTAGATGGGGATGCAGCATGAAGCTGAGTGGCAGCAGCCCAAAACAAGCCGTTGTGCTTTGTGCATCTCTGCGAGCAACATGCCGAGCTAAACCTTCCCTTTATGGGGGAAAGAAAATAAAGATAACTTCATTTGCACTCAGCTTTTCTTGGGCAGGCTTGTTAAGGTCTACAATCCCTTGTGACTCAAGCCACAAAATTTATAATCGGGCCTGAAATGGTGACATACCTTTATCTAGATTTTTTGGATTGTGTCCATCATAATAACAATGTAATTAGCCAGTAATATTAATATTTAAAGAAAGTGGAAACGAAAATGCATAAATATAGTTTAGAAAGGAGAGCAGTCTGCAGAAACAGATCTGTATAAATCTGTACCCAATTTGCCATTGTTATTTTCTTTTGCTTTTATTAATGGGCTAGAGGAATTAATGTTATGTGTGTGCATGCATGCTTAGAACAAAGGTACAGGCGATTGGAGAAGGCAAACACCATCTGACACCATTTAGGGGAGATCATCAGAAGATTGACAATGCAGAACTCAGTACCTGGTGATGCTGAGAATAATATTTTGTGTGAGTTCTTATCTTGGGGGTCCTTTCCTTGAGGCATTAGTCTGTTTTTCCCTGGGTCTCCAGCTCTACATCTATATCAAAACCACACGAAAAAGGCATAAACCTGACTTTAAAAGGAGAGAAGGGATTGAACAGCTTCAGAACAAAGATTTCAGCTGGTTGAAAAGTAATGCTGCTCAAAAGCTCAGTAGAGAAGAGATCCTTGCCTGTAGAGTTTCCAGATGGTGGTGAGATACATTGAACTCGACTCGCTGTCTGCTCACATGAGACAGGGAACATCTAATGGTTTAGAAAAATCTTAGTTTGTAAGTCAATCCAGGGAACAGACATCCTTGGCACCTGTTCTGCTCAACTTGTCCCTTTGAATCATAGCTGCTTCAGGCTTGGCATTTAGCAGGAATTTTCCATGTTTTCAGCTTGAGGAATATGTTTCATCCCAGGATCTAACACAGCACGTCTCTGTGCAGAAATGTTCATGAGGTCTGAATCTTCATTTAGAGCATTGGGCAGTGCTTTGTGTCATCCAGGGATGACACAATCCCACTGGGATGGCAAGGCTTAGTAACTTGTGAGTGTCCTCACTGTCTTTGGAATTCTCCCTCTCTAGTTTTTACATCTTCTGCTTAGTGTATGAGAAAACAATTTTCATTTGAAATTCTTTTGTAAATGTGCATCTCTTTCTCAAAGGTTTTTTTTTTCGGGATCCTGATATTTTACTGTAGTTTGTATAATACATTCAGTACATGTCAGTGGTTAGAACGGGTTGGGGTTTTTTTGAGAGGAAAAGACAGGGAATGTGAAGGGTTGGAAGAAATGAGGGATTTTATCCTCACAGAGTCTTTGAGAAGAGATGAGGATGCACAGAAAGTGTGAGCTGTGGGAGCAGAGGTACTCAGGCAGTGTCAGGATCACACCCAGGAGCAGTGAAGCCTAGATGAGCTTAATACTTTGACATCAGGGAAAGGACAGTTTTAAAGTCATAAAATTCTGAGGTTGTTCTGAAGTGATCTGCGTGTATTCCACATTCCTTTTGACAGGGGCACGTAGTGATAAGACAAGGGGGAATGGCTTTAAACTCTAAGATGGTTGGTTTAGATTTAGGCACTGGAGGGAAATTCTTCTCTGGAAGGGTGAGGAGGCCCTGGCACAGGGTGCCCAGAGAAGCTGTGGCTGCTTCTGGATCCCTGAAAGTGTTCAAGGCTGGGTTGGATGGAGCTTGGAGCAGCCTGGGACAGTGGCAGGTGTCCCTGCCCATGGCAGGAGGGTGAGACTGGATGATCTTTAAGGTCCCTTCTATCCCAAACCATTCCATGATTCTGTGATCATAAAGGGACTGTCAGAAAGGACCTATTATGAGAAAAAAACATGACTGTTCAGTAAATAAAGGGAAGAAAAGGAAGTGCTTTTTTTCTCTAAGGATAGGAGAGAGGAGTGGTTAGCAGGAACAGAGGAGAAAAGCTGAGATGTTTGAAGTTTCATCAGTCTGAAGTGGCAGAGGAGCATGAAGAGAAGGTAATGTCAAGAGAACACAGAAGCAGATGAGCTAAATGGAACTGTATTTGATAATTAAATGAAACTGTGAAGACAGATCTACAAAACTTCATTCTGCAAACTGTTTCCTTCAATTTTCATTGCAGGTCCCCCCCCCCCAGTCCTGTTAGATAGCATCTAGCCAGAAGTACTTACCTTCTTTTTTTCAGTTGATCAGTTTTTTCAATTGAGGCACTTTTCCCAGATGCTATTTCCTCCCAGAACCTAATGACTCGAGCTTTTACTGATAACAATGGAGCAACATCTGCAAAGGTTATGAGTGGCCATAGAAAGGAGCTTCTGTGCAACAGGTAGATAATGTACATAATTCTTTTTAAAAGGAGAATTGGAAGCATTATAGCATGAAATGAAGGAACAGCAGGGAACAGGACATATTTTTGCCCAGGGCTGTGAGACAGGCAAAGCTTTTGAATATACCATCAAATATATTTAAACTTCAGATTGCAATAGATATTATTTCCTGTGATTTTTTGCTTTCCATTTGATGAAGTGCACCACAATAATAACAAATCTCCACCTTGCCCAGCTGTCTCCCCGTGGCTATACAATCTGAGGCTAAAATATCTGAGATGTTTTCTTGAAAGAGAAATCAGAAGGACAGGCTATGACTAATTCTCTCTCTTCTGTTTAGAAAAGGGAAATACTGTCCTTTTCAGTGGCAACAGTGAAATTCTGGTGATAATTTTCTTTTTTGCTACATCTGCCCACTCCAACCACCTAAGGATCCAATGGTGCTTGGCAGCCTTAGGTCACTGAAGGCTCCCATTCTTAATATGAATAAGGGGAAAAAAGATCATCACAAATATCCTGCCCAGAAGCATTTGATTATGTTCACTACAGAGCAGTTTTGTTTTCTAAGGCAGCACTGGGCTTTAGGAGTAAGGGAAATGAATCTATGAGCAGATTGTGTTGTCTCTGTGGTAGCTTATTGTCACTTCAAGACTTGGCAGGTTCCTTGATTGCTGTGTGACACTGTGTATGAAATAGCTTTTGGAAAGAATTGCCCTTGCATTCAGCTGTGTATCTAGTTCTCCCAGTGATATGTTTGCATTTTTCAGTATATTGTGCATTTCAAAAGCAATGAAAGTTTCACCTGCTGTACTGACACAAACGATCTCTGATAATGATCAAAGCAATGTGCTTCTACAAACATCACATCACAAAAGCTCTTTATCTTCTAATTCTTAGAAATAAGACTTTTATAAAGAAGATTGCTATATGAATTACTCTGAAGTGAACCTGTCTTATTGCTTCCTCCTGCATACATTGTGTCTAACTGCCTTTAATTAGTAACTTCCGTTCCAGACAGTGCTGTACAATCAGAAGGGCAGGGGAGACCAGGAGGAGGAAAATGAACCATCTGCCAGCATTATTCTCTCCTTTTTGGACACTACTTCTTGTTAACCCAACCCAAAGCAAAGTCAGCCTATGTGGTACATTGGGGTCCAGAAATGGCATATTTAGGGCTAGTGTCATTTCTCTCATGTTATTCCTAATTATTAGATTGTAATGTCACTGCTTTTTGTTCACTCATAATTTTCAAGGTACTTGATAAAACCTCTTCTCATTAACTGCAGCTTTTCTCCTAATTCTTTGTGTCTTTTCCAGTCTCTGTCTTCATACACACTCACCTTCTTCGGGTTACCTGTCTGCTTTGGAACAGACTTGCTGTTTCTTGTAATCACTTGACATTTCCTTCACTCTTGTCTGCATTGTTGCACCTTCAATAGCACAGAACTGCCATGGGTAGATTTAGGGGAGCACAAGCTGT